TATTATATTTATATTATTTTAATTCAAACTTTTCTTTAGTGAAAGTAGTGTTATGGTATTGGTTGCAGTAGAAATATATGTCTCCATTAAGGATTAGAGGCTTTAGAGTTAAGACCTCAACCAGTTTCAGACAACGCCATCTGTTCAAAGTAAACCATATGTTACTCACTGAGTGTACTTATCTGCATCTTTGCTAATAGCAATGTGGAAGTGATTTAAACCAATATAATGTGGCAATGATAATATTTAAATGAAACTTTTACGCCAACTATGCAGAAATAGTAGAATTAGACTTGTGAAAAACACTAGCTAGGAGAATTTGATATGCTCATCAAACCAGCGTGGTTGTTTGCAGACAGTGGAACTGAACTTACATACACTACTCTTCAAAAGTTTGGGGTCAATAACATTTAATAATAATAATAATTAAATTGATTAAAATGCATTAAATTGATGAAAAGTGACAGGTAAGATATTTATAATGTTACAAAATATTTCTATTTCAAATAAATGCTGTTCTTTTGAACTTTCTATTCAAAGAATCTTGAAAAAATGTATCATGGTATAGTTGATAACCTGTTTATCATTTCTGCTTGGAATTTCCTGCTCATTATCGGAGTCACTCAGGACGGGCCTCTTTTTTAACTTTATCCGCTTTTTCTTCTGAAACACAGAATATTATATCACTAGTATAATGCTGATTGTGTGAGATTGTATCATGGTTTCCACTAAAACATTAGGCAGCACAACCATTTTCAACATTGATAATTGTAATAAAATGAATAAAAAAGGATCATGTGACACTGAAGACTGGAGTAATGGCTGCTGTAAATTCAGCTTTGCCATCACAGAAATACATTACAATTTAAAATGTTTAAATAGAAAACAGTTATTTTAAATTGTAATAATATTTCACAATATTACTGTTTTTCTGTATTTTTGATCAAACAAATGCAGCCTTGGTAAGCGTAAGATAAAAACACTTTAAAAAACCAACAAAAAACTACCATCCCCAAACTTTTTACTGGTAGTGTATCCTGTGACAAAAAAACATTTTTATTCACTTGGAAAAGTGTGAAGCTACACAATTTTTTAAACCAGCTCTGGTAATAGTACTGAAAAAAAGTGATTTAATGTGGTTGGCGACTCCCCAAAATAATACAATGTGCTATGCATTTTTGATTATGAACTTTTCTCTGCTTTAAATTTGGACCAGACCTTTGCACATACAACCCATGTTGACAAGATATAATGTACCTGGAACATTTCTCTGACTTTCTGCTTTGGAAGGTTCACATTGAGCTTGTGGAGCAGCTGTAAAACCTCTCCAATGCTTAGATTTCCATCTCCGTTTTTGTCTGCTTCTGAAAAGGTCTGTCTCAACCATTTGCAACAAGATGTAAGGAAACATCCACTCTCACATAGGGGTTATGGGTGGATTCAGACCATAAGTGGACACAATTAAAAGGATATTGATCTCGTGTCCGTTGCCTTTTTGCCAGACTGTCCTCGTCACTGATGCCTGCCAGCAGGTATTTAAGGCCAGTAATCCAGGTCCGTGCCTCTTCTCCATTTGTGGACACCAAGTCAAGAGATTCCACGTGGTCTCCATGGTAAATACTGAAGCAGCAGTTTGGATCAAAGTTATTGTTGGCAAATCGCCTGAAGACCTCAGTTCTCATCCCCTCACAGACCTCATGGATGGAGTCTATGGTGACTGAATAAAACAAGAACAGGAATAAACAGTGCAGTGCTCTTGTTTGATCATTTTTCCCCCAGCAGTTCAGACTTGAACAAAGCATTTTTATTCGACAGAATGATCTTCAGAGACAATATTGCTGTAAAAACACTATCCAATCCAGATGTTTGCACTGGTTATTCATTAAGACCTATGAAATCAAATACGGCTTGTGCACATGTGTGGTTTATCTTGAAGCTACATATGCTAATGTACTCCTAAACTGACTTTTATCAAACATATTCATTTAAAATGTATAATCTTTCTCTTCCAGGAAAATGGAGCAAAAATACTGATTCAAGAATCATTTGCTCGCAAGAACGAAAAAGTACCTCCTAGCAAGTAGCCAATCAAGGATTATGCTCAAATAGCATGGTATCTTTCTATTCTCACTACTGCTTCAGTATAGTGTGTAGTCTGTGCACTCTATGTGAATTTTATGTGTGCATAGAATACCCAGATACATAGTACAGAGCAGAATTTACTTACTGCAATACTCAACTTGACCTTTCATTTAGAGGATGACAAATGAACCAGATGTAATATCTGCCATGATTTTCAACATCTGTTTCTTGACTCATTGTTTGATTGCAAGACATCAATTCCTAGCAAAGGCACTGGGTTGATTCTTTCAAAAGGAAATACATGAACAGCAAATTGCGCATGTCACGTGATTCAATGGCGTGTTGAAAATAACAAGCACGTGTTGGTGTGTCTCAGTAGAACAAGCAGGTTATGTGACTCACTTTTAGCTCTTTCATGTTTTCTGGAGGGCCTCCAGCGGATGCAGGACTTGTGCTCATCTAGATAGAAGAGGCGCACCAGAGCCTTGGATTTTCCTCTCAGTTTAATCATTTGAGATCCGGCCTGCATGTTGCAAATGCATCTCTCCACTGCAAAAGCAAATGAGGACTTCTATTATTAATATTTGGCTGTTCATGTGATAAACAACCTACTATTATAACTATCCTGGACATTTCCTGGCTGGGAATTCTAAATGGCCTAAAATGTCCGGGGGTGACTTTGTTTTACAACTGACGTGCTACAGTTCACACACATTGTATAGGGTACGTTTATTTGTATCGCTTTGACCGTTCTCTGTAGATCCAACCTTCTTGCCCACCACGATTGATCGATTATGTATAATGCCTATTGGTCAAACTACTTTATGTTTTCAGACATTACCTGCAAGTATGAAACAATAGGAAAAACAAATCAACATGCTTAGAAATGTCCTGGACAAAAGCGGTATTAAGGGGACCCTACTCGCCTTACATATTTTTAATAATAGTAATTTTTTAAAAATGTCATTAACATTTTTATTGAGTGCACCTTTAAGAAAATCCATTGAATGTCAGAGTTTAATTGTTCAAGCAGATGTATCAAGTACATTCTCAATCAAATTACACAGCTGCGTCACGCACACACAGGTTCATAAGGGTGTTTTCTGTCTGCTGGCATGCATCATGAAAACAGTACTAAAATGATGCAAACTCTTACAGCGTATGAATTGAACAGTACAGTTGAATGAGATGTTCTCATCAAAATAATTTGGTGGTATTTTTATGAAAAAGAAAAGAAATTCCAAAAGAAAACATTTCCACTTCCATTTTAAGATGCTATAGGCTAGTACAGACAGTAATACAGGTGGCGTTTGAATTAGGCCTAGGCAATCCATAATATAACAACGTTTTTTCTCCTACTTTCTGTATATGCCAGAATGACACGTCAAGTCAGGGTATGTTTTCAAAAAAGTTGCTTTGGAGGAGCGGATCAAGGACAGAGGGGTCATGTGACGCAGCTAGTCAGTCTAATCTCTGCGGATTGTTTGTGTCCATATGCCGCCATGAGAGGGGACACTGCCTTATTATTAAAACTCGAATTATTTTAAGTGTACTTAAAGGTGAGTAACATACAAAATTACTCTAAACATACAACTGAATCAAGTATGAAACAATAAGATAAAACTGCAGAAAAGTTGCAGAATTAAACCCAGCACAGTTAGATCATTTATCAATTATAGTGAAAAAAATGAGTAAAAATATGAGATTTGGTGTCTTAATTCTTACCTATCTGGCCCATTCTCCATTTCGGTGATGCGACAATACTTCCCCCTATCCAGAAGAACTCCTCAGCCAAACGTGATATCGTAGCTTTCTGCCATAGTTTAGGTGAAGTCATTATAGAAGGAGAAGGCGATCTGAAAGGTGAAGGTGACCTCCTCCCAGGACTGGGGGGCCGCCTGGTGAGAGATGGCGAAAACAAGACTGGAGATGATGGTGCCATTCCCGGAGATGTGTTCATTACTGCAGGACTCTTGTGTGGTCATAACCTAGACCTCTGGTCATGTCCCTCGCCCACCGTATTAGTCCTGTAACTCATAAGGTCAGCTTTCTTCCAACCAGCGAGACAGGGGTTACTGAAATGATGAGCCAACACTTCTCAAGGGTAGCAATGTGCATGTGGACAGATGATTTAATTCCAGTTGGCACCTCTGTTTGACTGATCCTCTTAGTGATTGACCCTCCCTCTGGTCCATTGATAGTGAGTTTTCTTCAGATATTCCAGTGTGAGTGCTCAATTGGACTGCTGTTGTGGACCGGCATGCTGTGGCTGCAAGTTTAGGAGGAACTGGGGTGGGTTGAGGAGCCACACGTGTCAGCAATCAGTAAATCTCTAATCCAGGATGAGGTGAAGGCATTACTCGTACTGGGGATTTTCATGTCTCATTGGTCAACTTGAGGAAAAGGATAGGGGATGATACTGTATAACAATATTTTTGTTTGTCTAAAAGTAAAAACATTGCCAGTTAACATGGAAACATGACATTCCTTTTGATTTCATCATCTTTTTTGTTTTATCATATACATACAAATCAACATTTGGAGTGCGTTTAAAACAGCTTTTGCCCTAGGTACACTTGCACATAGTTTTTCAGGTAGCTTTGCAGGTAAGTTTCTTGACGCATCTTGGAGATGTTGCCAGGTATTCTGGATTTAGTCTGACTTTTCTGATTTTTCATATCATTCCAGACAGACTGGATGATGATGAGATCGGATCTCTGTGTAGAGCACTGGCTGTCGTCAGACTCCTTGAGCAAACAAAAATCATTTTTTTGGCCTAAGACGCTTGCACGGTAGTACACACACACTATTTATCTTTACATTTAAAATGCTGCTATCAAATCTAGGCTCTACAGTGGCCCTAGATTTATATAATCTTAATATTGTGTGGCACAAAAAATATCAGGAAACACAAAAAGAATGGTTGATTCTGTTTAATGATGTTATTATACGTGGGGGAACATTAAAACAAGTGACGAAAATGACCCACATCAAAACCAAAACTATGACAAGACCCTGAACACAATGCATATCTCTAGTGACCATGAAAACATCAAAAGGTTATAAACAGACATAGGCAAGCATACAGATCTCGTTATATAGAAGGGGAAGTAAAAATGTACCCAGAATAAATAGAGAGATGGAAAAGTTAGTATATGAATTACTGCGGGTTTATTCAAGACAGGGGTAATGGAGATAAAAGATTATTAGAAATTCAGCAAATACTCTTTACAGTTCATCAGTCACATTTCTGATTTATCCACCACAAACTCAGAATGGGAAATTTTGCTTTGGTAATTATATAAAGTGATTTCCAAAGGGACTGAATTTATTCAGAAATATAATTATCTAAGTTTTTTTTGTTAATATTAGATAAGGATTTTATATAGTAAATGCCCTCTAGTTGAAATTATGATAGGAGAAATTCATTTATGTGTTACATTTTTTATACATAAGAGTCTATTGGTTTGGAGCAAAAGCATTTAGAGTGAAGTGTAAAGCACGCTATCATATTTACATCATGTTTTTATGTTTAAGTGGTATTCACATCTGTAACAAATGTATGAAAACTTCTTTATTCAATACTTGGTGTCTGAGATTTGAAAAAACAGAGGGCTTCAAATACACAATAAAACTATCTTTTCTTAAAAGTGCAATTCTTTTTTTTTGGTAGAAAGTAAAAAAATATATATCCTTAATTTCTATACAAGTAGAAATTTTATTTTCATTAACAGCATTTTCTTTTCTTTTTTTTACGTTAAATGAGCCCTAAAACCAGTGACTAAAATTGGACGTTTGTCACAATTCTGATTCCGAACGGAAAAAAAACCCCCAAAACAAAACATGCTGTAATGTTTGTTTGGACTGCGAAAACTGGTAATTAGTAAAGTATAATACTTGAAATTGTAGTTCAGGACAGAGGATAGGATTCAGCCCATATTGATCGTTGCCAATACTATAGGGTTTTAAGTACATAGTAATTAAAAATACAAAGATAAAAAGATCATTTGAATGTAGGCTTATAATAAAGCTTTGCTGCACCATACCACTGTCGCTCATGCAAACTATTTTAATTCAACAGCGAACAAAAAGGTCAAATAAAAGCGAGCAGAACATTGTAATGACAACACCTGTGTACTATGTTGAATTCTGGCTTGTAACACTTTCTAGTTTACAGAGTATCAGCGGCACTAGCAGTTTGTTCACCTGCTACTGTCAACGTATTGTGAATAGAAAACATGTTCGTTTCCCAAATATTATTCAAGTATCTTTGCAAGAAAATTTAAATAGCTTATAACAAAAAACAAAAAAATCCTTAGCTTAGCTTAAAGAGGCTAACTGAAGGAGAGTCAGTTACACGCGATGCCACCGTCTCCGAGCATCCTCCTCTCAAGGAGCGAGCAAACTTCTTTCCAGTTACTCGAGTTCATGAATTACAGCTGCAGTTTCAATTGGTTTTGGTAAACGTTCACTGTAAAATGCTTGTTTTTTATTATCATTCTCCTGTGCTCCAGTACTTTTTTCAAGAAAGTGTTGGCTTTAGAGGCATCCTCTACTCGTCCTCAAATCAAAGTCTTCAACTACAGCCACACACTAAACACATTAAATGTTTAAGATATATCTGAATCTCTCATTTCTTTCTTCTCTCCCTCAGTCGGTTGTGTGTTTGAGATGGCGTCTCCCTCTGTCTCTGCTTTGTGGCCCAGCTGTTCCTGGAGCTCTTTGACGACCCTCTCCAGGTTCTGCCGGGCATCCCGCTCCTTCAGCAGGTCCTCTCTTAACTGCTCACGGTCCACTTCTGCTTGCTGGAGCTTTGTCTGCAGATCTTCAATCTGAGAGAGTGAAAAAGAGCAGCTGAAGATGTTGCAAATTTTGTGCACATCCTATTTGCTGTCATTATACTTTATTATATACAATGGGATCCTCAATTTGAGACCACTAGCGACCGGCCAGGACACAGTGTACATTTACCGTCTGTACTTGGCTGTGTTAAAATATACCAACAGGATGTGCTAAATCTCACCTGTGAGGAATACTTGGCCCTCAGACGTCCTGCCTCACAGCCCTTATCGCACACACGGAGCTGTCTCTCTCTGTCCAGCTCCCTCTTCAGCCTGCTGCAGGACTCATTGGCATCTCGCACCTTCTTCTCACACTCCACATGGAGGCGCTCAATCTCCTTCCTCAGGTTCCGCTTTGCCTCGATGGCCTCCCTCAGCCTGCCCTTCTTAGTCACCCTGACAAACTCCAGCTCCTGCCGAAGACAGTCAATATTATTATAACATAACACATGAATCTGACACCTTTTGTACAAAGCAATTTACACGGGTAGTGTCACAAATGTGCTTATTTGATCGTGGATAACTTTTAAGAAGAAGAGCTATTTTAGTATTACTTATGTACTATTACAGTATTTATTTATATTTCAAATTAGCTTTTATTTTTATAATTTCCTTTTTCAAATTTTAGTTAATTTGGCTTTAATTTAGTTTAATTTAGCAATTTTTAGCATATCAACTGAATATTATTTCAGTTAGTGGTCAACGTAATATTTGTAATTTTCATTCAATTTTTTTGAGTATTGAGCATTCATATTTTATTTGATTTCAGCTTTATTTCAATTACTGTTAACAATTATTACCATTTTTAGTTTTAGTTAACAAGAACACTGGCAATATTTAGAGTTATTCTAAAATAGAATTTTGAATATTTTGTGGATTTAAAGGGATAGTTCACCCCAAAATGAAAATTCTGTCATTAATTACTCACCATCATGTCGTTCCAAACCTGTAAGACCTTTGTTCATCTTCGGAACACAAATTAAGATATTTTTAATGAAATCCGAGAGCTTTCTGACCCTGCATAGACAGCAACACATCAAAATTCAATAACATCAGTGGTTCAACCATTATTTTTGTTTTCTTTGCGCACAAAAAGTATTCTCTTGGCCTCATAAAATTACGGTTGATCCACTGATGTCACATGGACTATATTAACAAGGTTCTTACAACCTTTTTGAACCTTGAACGTGGTAGTTGTGTTGCGGTCTATGGAGCGTCAGAAAGCTCTCAGATTTTCATTAAAAATATCTTAATTTGTGTACCGAAAATGAACAAAGGTCTTATGGGTTTGGAATGACACGAGGGTGAGCTATAAATGACAGAATTTTCATTTTTGGGTGAACTGTCCCTTTAAATATTTGGAATATTTTGGCCTTTATTTTAAGTCATTCTTTGAATACAATTCTTTCAATTATTTTTTGAATTCCAGATTTTCAGACTTTTGGACTTTGCAGTAAGTACCTGCTGAAGGCTTCGTTTGGCTTGCAGAGCAGCAGCTACTTTCTCCTCTTGCTTTACTCGCATACGGATGATCTCCTGGAGGAATTTCTCTCTAGCCTCCTTAGAGTTAAGGTCACTGCAGAGCATCTGCTTGAGGACTTCCAGCTCAGAGTAAGGAGCCGCCCCCAGTCTCACCCTCTCGTCATGCACCTCTGCAGTGCTGTAAGCGTTGAGGTTCATCACCCCTACGCCATTGGTAAAGGGAGGGGACATCAAAGAACGGGAGGCAGGAACTGGAATCAGAGAATAATACACCAGTGAAATAAAAGTTGCCAGATATTGTGAATGTTTTTCCATTAGCCATAATTTTTTTTACAGGATTTCCACAGATGTATTTAACCGCTAATCCTCTTTTTTGAGATCCTACCTTTGCTACAGTTGTCAACCTCGATTTCTGTGTCCGAGTCCTCGTTCTCCAGAGCACGCTGTCTGACTACTGGAGTGGGCAGAGAGGTTTTGGCCACCGGCTGTGATTGTCTCTCTGCAGAGGGCCACCTCTTTCTTGGCCTGGAGCTCTCTGTCTTGCCTGTGTTGTGGCTCTCAGTGGGCTGAGAGAAACATTGTGGTGGCTGCTCATTATTTTTAAATGTGGAAATGGGCAGTGATACATTTGGGACTACCAGGCCGTCTTGTCCTTTAGCAAGCGATCTGAATGTCAGGGGAAAATTAGATGTTAATTACATGGCCCAATCAAGGAAATGTATTGATGCATTGCACAGTGGAGATGATCCATGAATTACTTATGGCTAATCAGTAGTTTACCTCTCATACGTGTGGCTAGGTGTTTCTCGCTCAGCAGAAGGAACTCTGGGAGACCAGGGCCTGAAGGCTGAAGGTCTTTGCTTGAACTGGAGCTGCTTAAGATCCTAAGAAGAGAAAAATAAAAGGGTTTCATTAGGGATGCAAGATAGAATAAAGTTCATCTTAAAAAACAATAACACTCTTTATCTTAAATCTCAAAATAAATATTCATTTTTCATACTGTACATCATAGTATTGCTGTGATGCCTGAATTCCCTAGTGGCATTTAAATACTGACTTTAGATTTGAGTGTTTTTATTTATTTATTTATTTTAGTGTAGATTTTTTTTTTATATTAGTGTATCCCTAACTTCAATATCTACAGTATGTCCACAAGATAAAATACCCATACTAATCAATGCTAACAACTTTGATGAGCAGTAACTTTCATTAAATTCATAATACCCTGGTGTAAAATAGCCCTATATACTGTATATTATATTAAGCTCAAATTATTTAATTATACATATGTATAAACTAAATATGATAATAATAATAATAATAATAAATGAAAGCTTTGAAATCACAATTATGAATGACAAATAATACTATTACTATCTGGATAATGCATTTCATAAAGAAAAATATAAGCCAACAAAATGTACCTTATTTGCAGATGCAGCCAGAGACTGTAGCCAATCAGCTTGCTTCTCTTTATCCATTGATGGGGATCTTGAGCAGTCATGTTTGGACTTTTTGGAGGGAATGGGACTGTAAGCCTGTAAAATTGAAAAGAAGGGAAAAGAAAACACATTCTGTGAGATGAAATAACACCCTGTGAAGCCAAGAAACCAGCACCGAGGTACAGCTTTGACCATGTAGGTGTCAAACCGACTTACAGCTTTCAGCAAATAACTGAGAGAAATCAGAGGTAAATTTAGCATCAGTACAAATAACAACCAAACACTACAGGTATTCATGCAACTAAAAAGGGTTCCTAATCCTCCCCTTTGCCCTCAGGTTTCAGCATGTCAGATCCCGGATGTGTTTACCTTTGCTGTACCAATGACCTGCCCAAACCTGTGCCTTTCTGACTCAAGTTCAGGAATTTAAAACACCCCCGTAACCCGAACATCCAGACAGCCAGAGTAAGTGCGAAAGTTAGGTGAGGACAAACTCAGGAGGAGGTGCTGATACAAAAATGATTCACAATGAATGAGAAATGTTGTGTTTTCAGGTAAGAAACACCACATGAGAATTATGACTGGATAAATAAGGTCAGGCATTGCGGCTCTGTCGTTGACTATGATACGACACAAGGGGGAGATATCGGGCTGGATTTTGTCTCATACCTGCTACAGTGACAGAAATCTTGTAGTACACATTATTTAGCATTCGCTCTTAAACGAAAATTTAAACTGAATTCTTATTTCTCGTTTTTTGGAAAAAAATGAAAAAGGAGCCGTTTTCTAATTTTTCTACTTTCAATATTAAATCAAAAAACGAATGATAGAATGATACACGGATTCTTGGCCACTACAAAACCTTCATTTTGTTTTTCTTGAGCCATTCAAAGGTGGACTTGCTGGTGTGTTTTGGATCATTGTCCTGCTGCATAAACCAAGTGCGCTTGAGCTTGAGGTCACAAACTGACGGCCGGACATTCTCCTTCAGGATTTTCTGATAGAGTGCAGAATTCATGGTTCCATCACTGGATGAGTCTTTGTTGCGCTCTTGGAGTAATTTTGGTAGGCCAGCCACTCCTGGGAAGGTTCACCATTGTTCCAAGCTTTCTCTATTTGTGGATAATGGCTCTAACCATGGTTCGCTGGAGGCCCAAAGCCTTAGAAATGGCTTCATAACCCTTTCCAGACTGATACATGTCAACTGTTTTGATTCTCATCTGTTCTTGAATTTCTTTAGATCGCGGCATGATGTGTTGCTCTTTAAGCATGCTTCACTTTGTCAGACAGGTTCTATTTGAGTGATTTCTTGATTCAACAGGTCTGGCAGTAATCAGGCCTGAGTGTGGCTAGTGAAATTTAACTCCGCTTTCTAAAATAATGTGGTTAATCACAGTTTTTTCATGATTTAAGAGGAGGGGCAAATAAATTTTTTTTGCCAGGTAGGTTTGGACAGTTTTTTTCCTTTAATAAATGAAATTATAATTTAAAAACTGCATTTTGTATTTACTTGCATTATCTTTGTGTAATATTAAAATTTGTTCAATGATCTGAATCTTTTAAGTGTGACAAATATGCAAAAAAAATTAAAAAACAGGAAGGGGGCAAAAACCTTTTCACACCACTGTATGTATATAATATATTAGGGGTGCAACGGTTCTCGGTAAAAAATCGAACCGTACCGTTCTCCACAGACAATGCATCTGTAATATGGTTGGTTAGTGTACGGCTAATGCATGTTTCGGTTGACGGATACAAATTCTGGCTTCCCAATACATTACAACAAGAGCGATGAGAGAGAAAAAAACAATAACCAGTTACTCTTAAATCAATGCGAGTGCTGTATGCTGGAATAACTGTCATTTATGCCGTCATCACGTGTTGATAACGCAGGTGAGACCTGAACAGCACACCGTTGCTATCTGTGTTTAAACTAAACTCATTTAAGCCTGGCCAGTTTAAATGTTAAAGAGCCAGAAGACGCAAACTCGCGCGTGCAGTGTGAAGATTTGTGTGTGCGTTCATCCGAAGCGCATGAACCCGAGTCTCAGAACGCGCGCAAATATTAAGCTCTCTGTGAAGTATTGTGCTTGAATGGACAAATTCACACAAAAATTATGTCACAATGTCCGTCGTTGTGGGTATTCTAGCAGATATAGTCGGCTGAACATATAGTATCAGTGCACTGGATCAGTGCGTTCTCTTAAAGTGAAAACAGTAACAACACGGAAATCACTCACTGCTCTTGATTTAATAACTTTTGTAACTTTAATAAGGATTAATCTTTAATTTATACAGTCAAATATGCAATGTTATTTTACATTTGATTACTTTATTCAATTTATGTACCTAAAAACTGTTAGACCTACCTACAAAAACCTGAAAAGCACTGTTTATTTTATTTGTATCTTTGCTCTATTGTATTTATTTGTGCTGTTGCCTGTAGTTAATGTGTTCTTATTTTCTTTATTTTTATTTGACAATATAGTTTTTTCCCTAAACATAGCACATACCGAACCGTACCGAAACCGTGACTCTAAAAGCGTGATACAAACCGAAAGGAAGATTAGAATTTTAGGAGCCAATGGAACCCCAGTATTTATTTATTTATTTTTTTAGAATCTGGAGACCTGCCTGCTTTGCGCAAAGAGAAGCACCCCCCCCTTCAAAAAAATGCGGATGGGTAAAGTCAAGACATGACTCAAGTGTTGAACAACCACTGCACACCCAACAAAGAACGTCTGTCTGTGTTTGTTCCTTCCCTGAGGTCTGGAGTTCCAGGAAGACCGGGGCGTCCCAGACATAATAGTCTTTGACTGTGCACCCTCCCAGACACCACAAGGGAGTCGCTGATGCAACGTCCGCTGATCTGAAACCAGGGCAGCCGTGACACGGCCTTCACTCACAACCACATTAAACGCATGGCCTTGTGACACACATGCACAGCAGACTGTATCAAACAGCTGGACGAAACCACACAAACACACAATGGATGCAGATTAGAACATGTTCAACATCTGGACTCTAACCTACAGTTTTATATAAACCTTAAAGGAAGCCTGTGGCCATCTGGATTTATTATACAATTTTGGAAAATTCTAAATAAGGTGATTGCAAAGCACTACACATTACACTACGGATAAAATATTCATGCAAGATAAAACGTAACATACTCTATATTCTTAATCATGACTGAGAAAATGAAGAAAAAAAAGCACTAACAAGGGCTCCATTACTGACGGAGTGCATGAGTGAGTGAGTGATTGAAAGAGTGAGCGAGTGAGGGCCACATTTCCTCTCTGTAGTTTGCTTTGGCTGATGGCCCTGTGGGAACCCATAGCGTCTGGTTCCTGAATGTGAGTGGGCGGGTTCGAGGAGCAGGACCACAGAGGAAACACAAAGCAGCAGGAATGTATACTTGAAGGCCAAGTACGGCTTACTCTTAAAGTGGCCATTCAATCCTATGCCCTTTTAAATGCCTATTGTGCAAGATTTCTTTGAAAACAGGTTATAAAGGAGTGCTTTACGGCAAACATGAGGCTGAACATACACAGATGAAACATGCATGTTTGCACAGACATAACCAAAGGCTTTGCACGAATCAACTTATGAATATTCAAGTCTTTATATTTATGTTAATGACGGATAGACAATAAATGGCAGATATTCAAATTATATAAAATTTTGGAACCTATATTTATAAGACTATACCAATATATCATGCGTCACTAGTTTTTGCAATGCGTGAAAACAATAAAAAAACATAACTGGACTGATACTGATTTTAAAAGGTGCCAAATGGTTCAAGATGTGCAGATGTCCCAGACAAATATTGTGTGTAACAGTTTGGAATGCACTGCTCCGTCCAAGAGCCATGGGTGCATGTTGTCATAAACTGGATTGGGTAACATCTGACAAATTTTGCTTCTGATTTCGGAATGACTAATGAAGCAAATATCAACCTCTGCTTGCATTCGTTGCGATACACCATCCAGTTTCTTCAGGGAGATGGTGCATGCTCCAAATCTTTGTTGATATTACTTAGAAGCCAAACAAGTGGAGTTATATTTGCCATGAAACAAAAATAGTCTGCTCTATTGAACTTACTCAAGCAACTAACATCCTCACAATAATGTGCCACACCGCCTGAAAGAGCTGTAGCGGTGGTGGTGCACAGCAACCAGGCACAACAAGTTTCCTATTACAGCTTTTCTTTTCCCCCCACGGAAATCCTGCATGTAATCCCCAGATCTGTGTGTGCTTCGGCGTGCTCTGCCAAAGTCAAGGGCAAAACTGGTGAAGCACACTTGGGTAGAAGCTTTTTTGAAACTTGCTGGAGACCGGTGCTCTGATTAAGAGCTTCTGGAAGACCATAAAGGATGAAAGTGTCTACTATGTGAGAGAGAAAGGATAAGGTTATGCCAGCTGTCCTCATGCAAGTGCAAGTGCTTTGGAGGGTTTCAAAATTTATATTAAGCTTGGCTGTCACCAGGTGTCAGCTGGCAGATCGTTGCCATTTGAAAATGTCCCCAGCTTTTTTGCTTTCAGTGCCAGGGGGAAAAAAACACGCCATAACGTTTCCCTTCAAGTCCATCCTCTTCCAGAAGTCAGATGCGGAGCCTTAGGGAAAACCAATCTTGATTGGATTGTGTTAATAGCCTTTGGACTGGAGTTTTGATGCTGTCTGAGCTGAAGAGAGAACAGACTTTTGAGGCAAAGGCGGAGCGTAACACATAATCCTGCTCTGAGAGTGATGGAGGAATCCATCTGCTTCAATATGCCGTATTCCAGCAGGCACATAAGGGTATGGTCTCATCGGACTCTTAAGAAGTCCTCCATTAAGTAGTCCATTTTCAGACTGCAAAAATAAAAAGAATCCTCAAACTCATACATACAGCTCTACCAAAATTGATCTTGATATCTTTATGAAATGGAACAAGTTTGCCTGGAACTTGAGTGCTGGTCGTGCCTAAATTTTAATCTGTGTGCTTTAGTTCTAATGCTAATGCGCAAGCAGTTAAGTGCAGAAAGACGATTAAAGTCTCACTGAATCTCCTCTTCACCATACCAACACAAGGGCTTGAAATAAAGAGGGT